TGGGTCTTTGTTTCTTTTTTTTCTTTTTTTTTTCAACATCTTTATTGGGGTATAATTGCTTTACAATGGTGTGTTAGTTTCTGCTTTATAACAGAGTGAGTCAGTTATACATATATATATGTTCCCATATCTCTTCCCTCTTTGTCGCAATATTTTAGGCTTTGTGGGTTATACGGTCTCTGTTGTAACTACTCAATTCTGCCATTGAAGCAGGAAAGCAGCCATAGATCATATATAAATACATGAGTGTGACTGTGTAATAAAACTGCACAAAATTATAGTTACAAAATAAGCAGTGGGCTAGTTTGACCTGCATGCCCTAGTTAGCTGACCCCTGATCTAAGTGAAAGGTAAAGAAAGCCAGAACAATGCAAGAGCCATGAGAATGAAAAGACAGAATGAATGTAGGAATGCTGTACACACACACACACACACACACACACACACACACAAGGTCTTCCTCCAATTACTGTCCTAATTCTGTCCTCTTGTGGTCAAACTTGGCATTTCCATTTCCTCATCTCTAATTCACTCCTCAACCTGTCTCCTGGCTAATCATCTGCTGAAACTCTTACAAAGCCACCAAGAATCTCCTATCTGTTAAGATCAAATGACTGTTTTTTTTCTTAATGTGATTTTTAAAAAATTTATTTATTTTATTTTTGGCTGTGTTGGGTCTTCGTTGCTGTGTGCGGGCTTTCTCTAGTTGCAGTGAGCCGGGGCTACTCTTCATTGCGGTGCATGGGCTTCTCACTGCAGTGGCTTCTCCTGTTGCAGAGCACAGGCTCTAGGCGTGTGGGCTTAGTTGCTCCGCAGCATGTGAGATCTTCCCGGACCAGGGCTCGAACCCATGTCCCCTGAACTGGCAGGCAGATTCTTAACCACTGCACCACCAGGGAAGTCCCAAGATCAAATGACTCTTGATTCATAGTGTCTTCTTCTTTCCTCTTGGTTTCTATTCCTTTCTAAAACTCTTTAATCATTTAAAACACTCATTCTACAGTCTCTTTCAGATTAAGTCCTCAAGGTGCTATTCCTCCTACTGGTCTTTCTTAAAAGAAGAGAAAATCCTCACATGATTTTAAAACTTTTTTTCAAATCATGAACTCATTTCCAGTGGGGACTCTTTTTTCTGCAGCACTCTTTTTGCCCTGGTTGCAGAGGAATTCCTACACAGCCATTTATATTAGCTTCTGGATGCACCATGGATTTCATTGCTTCAGGACCAGTTTTTGCACTGTTTGGTTTGGGAATGGGTCATGTCGATCCACATGGTGCAGGACTTGGGCTTCAACTTCTCATAGGAGACTTTTATGTTTCTTTATTTGTAGAAAAGTAGGTAGAAACAATGGGTAGAATTTTTCTTACCATCCTCTCACTGAGAGGGTAGACCTTCCATACTCCCAGCTTTACTCAGAGATTTCAGCTCTTTGTCTTATCTCCTATTCCTGTGTGAACTTTAAAAGCCCAGCCCCTGGATCCTAGCTCAAGAGTTGGCAAACTATGGCTGGCTGCCTGTTTAAGAACTAAGAATGTTTTTTTTTTTTTTTTAAATTTAATTAATTAATTTATTTATTTTTGCTGTGCTGGGTCTTTGTTTCTTTTTTTTCTTTTTTTTTTTAACATCTTTATTGGGGTATAATTGCTTTACAATGGTGTGTTAGTTTCTGCTTTATAACAGAGTGAGTCAGTTATACATATATATATGTTCCCATATCTCTTCCCTCTTTGTCTCCCTCCCTCCCACCCTCCCTATCCCACCCCTCCAGACAGCCACAAAGAACCGAGCCGGTTTCCCTGTGCCATGCGGCTGCTTCCCACTGGCTATCTACCTGCATTCATTTTTAAAAGGTTTATGATTGTGCTACAATGGCAGTGTAGTGGTTATGACAAAACCCATAATGGCCTGTAAAATGTAAAATATTTATTGTATGGCCCTTTACTGAAAAAGTCTGCTGACCCTTGGCCTAGCTTCTAGGGCCTATATTCCATCAAAATCTTCTTTAGGCTTCAATGGCAAAAGACGTTGTTTAGACCTTAACTGACATGTATGCACATGTGTATAAGACATTGTAGGCTGTGTCTCATGTGTGCTCATGAGACACTGTACCTCTTTCTTGAATCCCTTTATTCTCTTGGCGTCTGTGACATCTCTTTCTTCTACTTTTTCTCTTTCATCTGCCTCTTCTCATTTTCCTTTACTGGTGCCAATTCCACTGCTGCTAGTAGTTGGTCCTTTTTAGGAGTCTGGTCCTTGGCTCTCTTTTTTCCTTAACGTATATACTTTCCTGAGGCTACAGCTTCTTAAAGCGCGGTTACTGACCTGGATTGTAATCACTTGGGTAATATTAAAACTGCAGGGACTTCGCTGATGGCGCAGTGGTTAAGAATCTGCCTTCCAATGCAGGGGACACGGGTTCGAGCCCTGGTCAGGGAAGATCCCACATGCCACAGAGCAACTGAGCCCGTACACCACAACTACTGAGCCTGTGCTCTAGAGCCTGGATGCCACAACTACTGAAGCCTGCGTGCCTAGAGCCCGTGCTCTGCAACGAGAAGCCACCGCAATGAGAAGCCTGTGCACCGCAACGAAGAGTAGCCCCCGCTCGCCACCACTACAGAAAGCCCGTGCACAGCAACGAAGACCCAGTGCAGCCAAAATAAATAAATTTATAAAAAAGGGAAAAAATCCTGCAAGTTCCTGGCTTGAATCCAGACCAAATGAGTCAGAATCTCTGTAGGTAGGGCCCAGGAAACAGAATTTCTTTTTAAAATATTTATTTATTTTTATTTTATTTATTTTTGGTTGCATGGGGTCTTAGTTGCGGCATGTGGGATCTTCATTGAAGCATGCAGGCTCCCGTGTTGCGGCACGCAGGCTTCTCTCTAGTTGAGGTGTGCGGGTTTTCTCTTCTCTAGTTATGGCGCACAGGCTCCAGGGCGTGAGGGCTCTGGAGCTTGCGGCACGCAGGCTCTCTAGTTGAGGTGCGTGAGCTCGGTAGTTGTGGTGCACGGGCCCAGGTGCCCCGTGGCATGTGGGATCCTAGTTCCCTGACCAGGGATCAAATCTACGTCCCCTGCATTGTAAGGCAGATTCTTTACCACTGGACCACCAGGGAAGTCCCAGGAAACAGAATTTTTAAACAAGTTCTCCAGTTTCACTTTTGTATACCGAAACTCAAATTTGTGAACTATTGCCCTAAGCGATCTCCCTCATTATCATCATTTTAACTATCAGCATTATGCTTATAATTAAAAATTATATTTTCAACTCTGCCCTCTCTCCTGAACTCCAGGTGCTCACAGGAATTGTTTATAGGCACCTCCACCTAAATCTCACAGGCATAAACATACACAAAAGATGTTCTTCCCAAATCTACTCTTCTTCCTCTGTTCTGTTTCAATTAATAGTGCCACCTTTCACCCTATAGCTCCCGTCAGAAACCTGGGATCATTCTCAACTCTCCTCTTTCCTCTATTCTCACATCTAAATACTGTTGTTTCTACCTCCTAAATACCTTTTGCATGGGTCCCATTGTCTCTATCGCCAGCCACTGCCCCTGTTCTGCCTTTCATCTTCACAACTCCAGGACTGTCACAGTAGACTTCTAACTACAAGATGTCCTTACCTTTTCAAATCCACACTCCACAGAGTTCTTTTTCTAAATGCAAAATTTATGACCCTTCACTTGGATTTCAGCCATACTGCACAACCCAGGGGGTACCAGTACCTAGAATACAAAGTCATCTAACTGGTATCTCCACTGTTCTCATTACAGCCAGAAGGATCTGATCATATTACTCCCTTCAGTGGCTTCCCAGCATCTGCAGAGTAAAGTCTCAGCTCTTCACATTTCAGATGAGGCCTGCCCTGCTGTACCACTGCCAATCTCTAACCTACCATCTGGCCTTCCCACCCCTCCCTCACACTTTGTGCTCCACTTGGGCAGGATGCCCTTTCTGCCTTCACTAGCTCAGCAAACTCCTCTTTTTCTTCAAAACTCAGCTAAGGTGTCTCTTCTCTGTGCAGATTTTCCTGAGTCCTCTAGGCAGAGCTAACCATCCCCTCCTTCAGGCCAACTCTGATCTTGTGCCAGCTCATGTTTATTACTCCACTCTCTGCTAGACTTTGAGTAACTCCTGCTAACTCTTTTAGCCCCCACACCTGGCACAGAATAGGCTGCATGGTAGATGTTCCTAAAATTGAAATGGGCCCAAATAAGTCAAGGGTGACTCTACAGCTGGAGCCTGAGTACCTAGAGTACAAAGGCCTCCATCAGAGGGAGTAGGAAAATCAGAAGAAACAGTTCATGGGGGAAGCGGGGAGAGACAATAGTTTCTGCAATAAACATGCTGAGCTTAGGATTGTGACAGAATATCCAGGTGGAGAGGTCCAAGGGGGAACTGGAAATATAATATGCAAGTTTCAGGGAGAGATCAAGCAGCACCAGAGTTAGAGATTTTTGGGACTCTGAAGCTATAACAGCTGATGAAATAACCAAGAGGGAATAACAACCCAAGAGAAGAAGGCAAAGAACACCACCTTGGGAATCATGAGGCAAGAGGAAGAAAAGACAAGATGACAAGAAAGAAAAGTTGCCAAGGAAAAAGATAAGTACTAGGTGAATGCAATGTTAGGAAAACCAAGGGAAAATAGTTTCAAGAAGGAGTGGGGTTAAATTATCTATGAATGACTAGGGGTACCTGGGTTGAAAATAGTACACTAAAGAAAAAAGTTTATGGAGAATAGCTTTTCACTCCAAGCATTTAGAGCATTTAGTTTTACTTGAAGCAAGCTAAATGTTTGTTTCCCCTGAGCTGTAAAATTAAAAGTGCAAACATCAAACTCTCTTGGGGTTCTCCATGTACATATCCAGCGTCAAAAACCACAGGGCACTCATAAGGGAAATCACGCAGCTCTCTGACTGCACAGACAGAGCCATTCTGAACAGCAGAGAGAAAACAAAGTCAGGATAAATAAAATCTAATCTGGGTTATACCTGAAATAGGACCCAACTGTGCCATTTTCCCTAGCCATGGGAGAGGTTCTGGGCCAGGCTCAAAGAGAGACATCATGAGGTTTGATTTCTTCTTGCTGTCAGCTTGGGAGTAGAGCATTCCGTGCCATTCAGGACTAGATGGAGAGAAGATGGAAGATCAGAAGAACATCAAGCCTGGGACTGTCAAGTTAAATAACTCTAGCCTGTGTTCTTCTCTTGAGAGACATGGTTTTCAGCTTTTAAATTAGGTGCATTACTTTTACTAAAGTCAAATCCTAAACCTAAAAATGCATACTGATGTCCCCTAATATTACCATTCCTTGGGGACAGGTATTATTATTCAATTATGTAGATATAGAAATCAAAAGCAGTCTTAAAAGAGAAAAAAAAAATCACAAGGGCAGCAAGTAGCTGCAGGGGTGGTGACGAGTAAGGGCTGAGACCTATAGGTCTTTTCAGCCGCCTCCGAATCATCCACAGCAGTACCACAGAGAGAAGCCCTTCTAACAAAGGGCACAAAGCCATCACCCAGCTCTGCTCCCACTTCTCAAAGGGCCCCAGGTGATTCTCCTACTCAGAGACAGTACAAGTAGCCTGAGTACCAAGAAATATAGCAAATTGATACCTAATAAGAATTGCATCCTTCTTTCTGGATCAGCTAATTTTAACTCAGGCAGAAAAGGAGCCATGCTTCCTCTGAGCATTCCTAACCTCTTGATTTTCTCTACCAGTCAATCCCAGGTGATGGCCAGAAGATGACCTCTTCTTCTCTGACAACAGGTATTATAGAAAGGGGAGCAGAGAGTTTTGCAGATTTTGAGACTACAGCAAAAAGTGAAAGCTAGAAGGGCTTTCCTCATAGGGAAGGAATACAGCAGAGTGGTTACGAGCATGGGCTATGGAGTCACAATACATGGATAAAATCCTGGCTCTTTCATTTACTAGCTGTGTGACCTTGAGCAAGTACCGTGACTTGCTCTCAAAGCCTCAGTTTCTTCATCTAAGGAATGGGGATAATACTGATACCTCCTGTATACTGAGGTATATAAAGTGCCTAGAGAAGTACCTGGCACATGGTAAAATGTTCAATGTTATCAGTATCTTTTTTCATTTAGTTTTTTTTTTTTTTTTTTTTTCCCTTGCGTTATGCGGGCCTCTCACTGTTGTGGCCTCTCCCATTTGCGGAGCACAGGCTCCGGACGCGCAGGCTCAGCGGCCATGGCTCACGGGCCCAGCCGCTCCGCGGCATGTGGGATCCTCCCGAAACGGGGCACGAACCCGCGTCCCCTGCATCGGCAGGCGGACTCTCAAGCACTGCGCCACCAGGGAAGCCCTTTCATTTAGTTTTACCTCCTCATTTTATAGCTGAGGAGTCTGTGCATACTGCATAAGATCCTATAACAAGTTAGTAGCATTACTTAAACTGACACTAGGTTTCCTAGATAGGATGGAAAAGAGGAAAACTGAGAAAAGATACAATATAAAGGCAATATAATTAGAAGACTCACTCTGTGCTTATTCTAGGGGATGCTTTAAAGAGTAGTGTAAAAGGTGATAGTACGTGGGAAGGATATGGCAGAAAGAGAAAAAAAGTGACGAGATCCTTTCTATTCTTTCTTTCAGAAAAGTCTGGGGAATACTTCACTGTAAATTGATTCTCCTTTTCACTCAACCAAAGGTAAAAAAGTTTCTTACCCTAATTGAACTATCGCCACCATTCCTTCCACTTTTAGGCTGCCATGGAGCAGGACACAAAAGTTGGGTATTTTGCCTGCAATCTGATTGGCTGAATTTTCATCTTCGTTGTCATCAGTTATACCAGTACCCACCTCATCACCTTCTATGAAAAGAAGAGAAAACCAGTCAGACTGGGATTAGCTACAAAAACTCCAAACTCCAGTTGTACTCTTGGCTGTTTCTAGCCTTGGGAGGAAAATATACAAAATTATAAAGGAATATTATAACAAGTAAGAAAAACTCATATTCTGGTTTTCCTATGTCCAAATAAAAATCAGTTTTCACATGTTATATGAATTCCATTTATATGAAACATCCAGAATAGGCAAATCTATACAGATAGGATATCAGTAGTTACCTGAGGCTGAGAGAGATGGAAGGTTATGGGTTGATAGCTAAAAGGTTTCTTTCTGAGGTAGTGAAAATTCTAAAATTCTGATTCAAAAATTGTGGTTATGGTTGCATAACTTTGCAAATACACTAAAAACTACTGAATTGTACACTTTAAATGGGTGAAATGTATGGTATATGAATTATATTTCAGTGAAGCTGCTATACAAAAAATCAGCTTTCCATAGTTTCTACTGGAACACTAAGCTAGAGGCTCTCTGGGGGTTTCAGGCACCATCAAAACAGAAACAGAGATTCAGAGATGTCAAGAGTGTTCTCAACTGACAGCCTTCAGGCAGCAGGTGGATGGGATACCCCAAAGAACAGTGACTACTCCATAAGTTTCTTGACTCAATTCTCCAACTCCAGGTTCTCTCATACACTCTACTGACAAATGAATGAATCTTCCTCCAATTAACTTCCTTCTGGAACTATCTGTGTACTCAAGCTGATTCAAAGACTTTCTAATTCAATAGAAAGATCTTCCTGGTTCAGTTTGACATTCAACAGCCCTTACAACATGGCTCAATTTTGCCTTCCCATACTTTTCTTCCCACTGTTTTCCTATACAAACTCTTCGTTTTGCCCACTTTCTTTCTTGGCAATTTATATGGGCACGCAGAATTCCCAGGACCTTAGGAATAAGGTAAACTCAGTTGTTATCAATATCAATAACAATAACAGTAAGGTTAAAGTATAAAGAAAAGGATCATAATCGGTCATCTGTGAGAACATATCAAAGATTCTGTCTATGAATATGTGATGGAGGGTTATGGAATACCTAACACTCCAACTGAGATAACCATGAGTAAATGGAATGTGGTCATAACTCAGTAAGTGGAAACCTGTTTGTATATACTTCTTGGAGAAAGCTGGTGAATATAAAGGAGATGGTCAGCCTAAAACATAGAAAAGAGAAGTTTAAAGTGCTAGAGACTAACATTCTCCAGAGACGCTGAATGTAGGAGATATGACTTTATAGTTGCTGGAGAAATACATTCTGCAGTAATGAGGCCTCACAAGGACCTGGATTCATTCACTCATTCAACAGTATTTACTGAGTATCTACTATGTGCTAGGCACCAGTAGAGAACAGGTGTGGTTTCTCCCCTTATAAAGCTGTATTCCACATTTATCAGGCAACCTTCTGAGAACTACTTTGGTTTCCCCAGCATGCTCCCACAGGGAAAGGCAGAGCCCAGGATGAGGGACTAAGCATTGTCACCTCTAAAGAGGATTTCCACTGTAAATTAACGAAGCAGCACACAATAAATATGTGTCAAAATGCTTTCCATAGTTATAAAGCAGCAGAATTAGTTTTTTAATATATCAGGCAACATATTATTTTTTAAAAACCCAATCCAGTGCTTCCCTGGTGGCGCAGTGGTTGAGAGTTCGCCTGCCAATGCAGGGGACATGGGTTCGTGCCCCAGTCCAGGAAGATCCCACATGCCGCAGAGCGGCTGGGCCTGTGAGCCATGGCCGCTGAGCCTGCGCGTTGGAGCCTGTGCTCCGCAACGGGAGAGCCACAACAGTGAGAGGCCCGTGTACCGCAAAAAAACACCAAAAAACAAAAAGCCCAATCTAATAACTACTCCTTTCCCCCAAATTCTGCAAAATGGGCTATTCTACTATCTTACATTTAAGAATAACTTTAGATAATAAGATACTTCATACGTATCACTGGAATAGGAAGAGAACTCACCTTTGTTAAGTGCTATAGGTAGGACCAGATGTCTGGACAGAACTGGGGGACTTGAAATATCAGCTATATCAATAAATCCCACTATTTCCAAATCTGAAAAGAAGGAATCAACAAAGAATTAACTCGTAACAAACAATAAATGCTGGAGACAGTGGGGAGAAAAGGGAACCGTCCTACACTGTTGGTGGGAATGTATCAATAAACTGGTACAGCCACTATAGAGAACAGTATGGAGGTTCCTTAAAAAACTAAAAACTGAGCTACCATGTGACCCTGGGCATATATCTGGAGAAACCAGTAAGGATGCATGCACCCCGATGTTCATTGCAGCACTATTTACAATAGCCAGGACGTGGAAGCTACCTAAATGTCCATCAACAGGAATGGATAAAGAAGATGTGGCACATATATACAATGGAATATTACTCAGCCATAAAAGGAACGAAATAATGCCGTTTGCAGTGACATGGATGGACCCAGAGATTGTCATACAGAGTAAAGTAAGTCAGAAAGGGAAAAAAAAATATTTAAAAATATCACTCATGTGTGGAATCTAGAAAAACGGTACAGGACTTCCCTGGTGGTACAGGGGTTAAGAATCCACCTGCCAATGCAGGGGACATGGGTTCGATTCCTGGTCTGGGAAGATCCCACAGGCCCCAGAGCAACTAAGCCCACGCACCGCAACTACTGAAGCACGCATGCCTAGAGCCTGCGCTCTGAAATAAGAGAAGCCACCGCAATGAGAAGCCCGCACACCGCAACGAAGAGTAGCCCCCGTTCACTGCAGAGAAAGCACACGCCCAGCAACGAAGACCCAATGCATCCAAAAAAAAAGAAAAAAAAAAGAAAAGAAAAGAAAAATGGTACATATGAACTTACTTGCAAAGCAGAAACAGAGACACAGATGTAGAAAACAAACTTATGGTTATCAAGGGGGGAAGGGGGAATGGGATGAATTGGGAGATTGGGATTCACATATATACACTACTGTATATAAAATAGATAACTGGGCTTCCCTGGTGGCACAGTGGTTGAGAGTCCGCCTGCTGATGCAGGGGACATGGGTTCGTGCCCCAGTCCGGGAAGATCCCACGTGCTGCGGAGCGGCTGGGCCCGTGAGCCATGGCCGCTGAGCCTGCGCGTCCGGAGCCTGTGCTCCACAACGGGAGAGACCACAATAGTGAGAGGCCTGCATACCGCAAAAAAAAAAAAAAGATAACTAATGAGAACCTACTGTATAGCACAGGGAACTCTACTCAATGCTCTGTGGTGACCTAAATGGGAAGGAAATCTAAAAAAGAGTGTATGTATAACTGATTCACTTTGCTGTACAGCAGAAACTAACACAACATTGTAAAGCAACTATACTCCAATAAAAATTAATTAAAAACAAAGAATTAATTTGTGTTATGGGAAAGTACATTATTTTCTATGTACTAGATTTCATAAACACAAGGTTTAGATCAGGAATTCAAATATGATGACTAGGAAGGTTATTAGAAGTTTCTCTGAATGACTCTAATACTTCGCATTTTAAGTAACTAAGAAATTAAGGACAACTGTCTTTTATTTAATGGACTTAAGTTATATGACAAATCAGTTAGACTATTTTTATGAGGCTAGGTCCCCAGCCAAGGCAAAAGCTTAATGGTTAAGTCTCTCTGAATAGTCAGGATGTTCAGGTCACCAGGGGGCGTCATAGTCAAATACTTCCACAACAACTGCAAGCAGCTATGCCTGGAGGGTAAGGCTTTTGCATTAAAACTGTCTCCCTGAGAAAGAAATACATTCTCTACAAAACCAAGGTAGCAGTCTACATATGATAATGGTTTCTTTGCTTTATAGAAGCTGTATTAAAGACCAAAAGTATTTGTAGAAAATCTAAAATAAGTTAAAAAAAAAAGTTGTAACCCAAAGAGTACTTTCTGGAAGTTTTTTCTTTTTTTTTTTTGCTGTACGCGGGCCTCTCACTGTTGTGGCCTCTTCAGTTGCAGAGCAGAGCACAGGCTCCAGACGCGCAGGCTCAGGGGCCATGGCTCACGCGCCCAGCCGCTCTGCGGCATGTGGGATCTTCCCGGACCAGGGCACGAACCCGTGTCCCCAACCTGTGTCCCCTGCATCGGCAGGCGGACTCTCAACCACTGCGCCACCAGGGAAGCCCTGGAAGTTTTTTCTGGTTATATAAGTAGTATAAAAACTTAGAAAACACTAAAAACTGTAAAGAAGAAAAATAAAGTCACTCATCATTCCTCATCAAAGGAAAACTCTATTAATATTTTACTGAATTGCTTTTTAGTCTTTCTTCTAGGCATATACACATTCATATTCTCAAAACAATGTTTTAAAAAATCAGGATCATGGTGAGTATACCATACTTCTTATACATCAGGAAATCTGCTTCTCTGGAGTTTTGCTATCATTACCTACTTTAGCTGAGTAACGAATGAATCAGCATAAGCAGTTATATATTTTTCATCTGAGTAGAAAAAGGCCTATGTTTTAGTGGTTTAAATATAAGCTATAACAAAAATCTTGGACTAGAAGCTTTTATAAGTTAGTCCATTAAATAAAAGACAATTATCCTTATTTTCTTAGTTACTTAAAATGCAAAGTATTAGAGTCATTCAGAGAACTTCCAATAACCTTCCTAGTTATCATATTTGAATTCCCCACCTAAACACTGCATTTGTGAAATCTAGTACATAGAAAGTAATGTACTTCTGGGAAGAAAAGATCTATTTGAAGTTACTCATCCAAAAAGGGTGGGAGGGAAATGGAATATAACTGGTTTGAAGGCAACAAAACATTTGGCACACTGCTGTCTAGTCACAATCAAAGAGATGGATGACCTACTTCCAGCAGGAGCAGAAAATAAAGGCACAGAAAACAAAAAAGCCTGTGCACAGCCCTTCACTCTAAAACTCCTTAAAGTCTACACACCCAAGAATGAAATGAATTTCCAGCTGTACTTAATTTTTTTTTTTTTTTTTTTTTTTTTTTTTTTTCCTTGCGTTATGCGGGCCTCTCACTGTTGTGGCCTCTCCCATTTGCGGAGCACAGGCTCCGGACGCGCAGGCTCAGTGGCCATGGCTCACGGGCCCAGCCGCTCCGCGGCATGTGGGATCTTCCCGAAACGGGGCACGAACCCGCGTCTCCTGCATCGGCCGGCGGACTCTCAACCACTGCGCCACCAGGGAAGCCCTAGCTGTACTTAATTTTAATCATTTAAAAAATTTTTCATTACATCTTTTATTATTAATTATTTATTTTTGGCTGCATTGGGTCTTCGCTGTTGCGCGTGGGCTTTCTCCAGTTGCAGTGAGCAGGGGCTGCTCTTTGTTGCGGTGTGTGGGCTTCTCACTGCGGTGGCTTCTCTTGTTGCGGAGCTCGGGCTCTAGGCACGCGGGCTTCAGTAGTTGTGGCTCACGGGCCCTAGAGCGCAGGCTCAGTAGTTGTGGCGCATGGGCTTGGTTGCTCCACAGCATGTGGGATCTTCCCAGACCAGCGCTCGAACCCGTGTTCCCTGCACTGGCAGGCGGGTTCTTAACCACTGCACCACCAGGGAAGTCCAATTTTAATCATTTGTTGATTGAACAATTACCTAGTGAACATCTACTAGCATCAGACACTAAGCCAGGCACTGAGGGTGTGCAATGGTGACTCAAAACAGTGATGGTTCAACATATACCCACCACTCAAGGAGTCCACCTGCCAATATGAGATAACTCTCTTCTCTACTACCCCTTGTTACTTTTGATTTTTGGCTTTGCCAATTTACCTAAGCACAGCACTGGCAACATGGTAGAAGCCATAACACACTGCTTTCTTTTAGTCATAATACAAGCTGCAGGATTAGAGGGGTACAATATATCAGAGCCGAGACCTGAGAGACCATCATTTCTCCTAGAGATTCCACTCACCTAGCCAATGAGAACTAGAGCAAGTGACTTGTCCAGGGTCACAGAGGAAGAGTCACACAGCCAAGTCTAAAAGCTAGCTCTTCATATATGACCTTAATAATGATGCTAATCCATCTTACTATCTCTATTAAGAACTACCTCAAGGATTTCAAAGCTAGTGAATCTGGCCCTGGTTTCCAACTCTAGTAATTTGTGGTTATAATCATCTAGGATTAGAGATTAACTCATGACCTCACCATGGAAGACCACTAATCTGCCACCCCTTAGGCAATGCATCCTCCCATCCAAAGTATACTGACATTTCTTTCCAACCCTCCTGGAGAGAGGACAGTAAAAGTCAGAAGTTAGAAGAAAGTAGGGATAACAGAAGAACTAAGAACGAAGTATAAAAAAAGTTACCTGTGTTAATGACTTTAGGGATAGGATCGATTTCCTCATCTACAACAAAAGGTTCTGGCCTGGGGAAGACTTGCACATCAGCGGTTAGGTGGCCACACTTGAGAACAGCATGGAAAGGTGTATATGCCAGATCTATGAGTTTTCTAGAATATGATGATTATTTGTTACAGAAAGAATAATATGATACGTATAATTTTTTTCAAGTAATCTTTTTAAGATATCAAGTTTGTTTTCCCTTCAAGTTGATTCCAAAGCTATGATCTGACCATTTGTGAAGTAGATCAAAATCTGATATTTTTGGTGAGGAAATTTCAATTCTGAAAAGCCCAAAAGCAAGTTAACTCTTTGAAATTGCTGTTATTGTAAGGAAGTCAATATCTATAGACATTACAGATTTAGTCATGCTTAATTTAAAAGGGAATCAACACTTAAAAATCACTACTACCAATCATTTTATCTGAGAAATGTGCAACTTGGGGAAAATGAAATGACACAATTAGAAACAGTAAAATAGATAGTATTGTCTGACATCAAATTATAATGCTGGATTGTAAGAAGGCAAAAAAGCTCAAAGTATATACTCACCCAAACATAGACTGTACATTTTTCAAGCACAGGGGGCCATCAATAGTAAAAATCTGCCCTTCACCATTGTTTAAATCTATAAGACGTTCAAGGCAATCCAAGGAATCAGTGCTCTGAAGCTACAAAGCAAAACAGATGACTCTTTTAAAGTGGCATAAAATGCCAGATTGTTATCAGTACACTAAGGTCACAAAATGAAGGTGATTTTTTTTAATAATGTGAGAAGGAAAATAACTAACAATTTTGACTCAAGGTTAACAAAGAGGAATGTTATATAAAATTATACCAGTAGAGCTATTTCATTCCAAGTAGTTTTGCAAAGATTCAGAGGTGACCACAGTTGGTATTCACATAGCACCTTCCCTTCCAAGTGTTTCTAACATCTTTTGGTAAGAACCATCATTATTTACATTTTAAAGATAGAAAAACTGAGGTGAAGAAAAGTTACATAACTTTCTAAAATAAATGGGAAAACCAGGAGATAAAAGTTTAATAAAACATACATCAGAGTAATGTTACTTAACAACAACAAAAAATCAAAGCACACTTCTGTCAACATTTCTGGTGTGATGGACATAAGAATTCCTAAGTGAGGGAAACACCTAACACCAAAAAGAACATTCTGACTCTGTAGCATCTGAAGAATCTTTGTGGGAAGTAGGACGGATAAGAACTCCAGCTATGTTTCCTGAGATGTGGCAACACTCTGCTTTCAGAGAGCATTTGAGACATAGAGTCTTTTCAAATATAATCAGTAATTAGTCTCAGTTGAAACAATGGAGTTCAATGTTATACTATAGGCATGCTTCATTTATTGAGTTTCGCAGATATTGCCTTTTTTTTTTTTTAAACAAATTAAAGGTCTGTGGCAAACCTGTGTCGAGCAATTTTATTGGCACAATTTTTCCACAGGATTTCCTCACTTTGTCTCTGTGTCACATTTTGGTAATTCTCGCAATATTTCAAACCCTCCAACAGCAAAAAGATTACAACTTGTTGAAGGCTCAGATGATGGTTAGCACTCTTTGGCAATAAAATATTTTTAAAATAAGGTATGTACATTGGTTTTTTTTAGACAGTGCTATTGCACTCTTAATAGACAACAGTATAGTACAAACAAAACTTTTATATGCACTGGGAAAAAAAGAAATTAATGCGACTTGCTTTATTGTGATTCCTGCTTTATAGTGGTGGTCTGGAATGGAACCTGCAATATCTCCAAGACATGACTGTATATGTAATATAATATTAATGGAATATACTAAAATATATATTCCATTTCTGAGTCCTAAAATGTATCTAATCAAACTAAAAAGAACTTAGTAAAAAGCATTACCTCCTCCAGATTTGCCATGCACATGATGTATAACTTAGATGGGAAAGGAAAAGGTAATGGGAACCTGTTGCTCTCACTGCGTTGGCTGTGAGTAGCTAGGGAGTGCCGCAGTGACCCTCTACCAATGCCAAGACAGCCATCTGTCACCAGAACAACCTGTTTACAAAAAGGGAGAGGAGTTTTGTACATGAAATAACATATTTATTTAAAGCAGTCTCATTTGGCAATGTTTTCATTTCTCCCTAATTGCATTTACAGTAAAAAATGTACCTCTGCAGGAATACAAACAAAGATGTGAATAAATCTCAACAACATCTGTCAAGTGAAAGATGACAGACACATTGTATTGATACGATTCTACACATATATATTAAGTTCAGACCACGAAAAACAAAACTAAGATAAATCAAATAGGGGTTGTGGGGTGATACTGAGTAGAAAGGGGCATGAGAAAACTCTGTAGGGTAATGGAAATGTTCTACATCTTAACTGGAGGAGTGGTTACATAGGTATATACATTTGTGAAAACTCAGTAAACTGTACACTTAAGATCTATGCATTTTACTGTATTTTATCTTATTTTACTGTATTTTATCTTATTAAACCTTTAAAAAAAGCACCTACCTATGAACACTTAAAAAAAAGACAAAACCATTCATAACCAATTCTTACTTAACTGTATTAAAACTAGAACCCTATCTCTTAGAGAAGGAGTTGGCACCTAAGACACTGGTGTCAAAAATGGCATAAAGGGTACTTCCCTGGTGGTCTAGCGGTAAAGAATCTGCCTTCCAATGCAGGGGACACGGGTTCGATCCCTGGTTGGGGAACTAAGATCCCACATGCCCTGGGGCAACTAAGCTCATGTGCCCTGGAGCCTGCACACCACAAAGAGAGAGAGAAAACTTGCATACCACAACTAGAGAGAGGCCCTCGCACTGCAACAAAAAGATCCCGCATGCTGCAACTAAGACCTGAAGCAGCAGAAAAAGAAAAAAAAGAAACAAAATGGCATAAGGACCTATTTTACGTGTGTCCCTAGGAAGTACCAGCACAGAAGTCTGAAGACTGAACCTTGACACTTTATTTTCAAAGATGACAAACTTTACCTACCCCTGCTCAACTAAAATGACAAGTGCCTTAAATATGTATTTATAAAAGCCATTTAACCAGACATGGACAAGACCTTTAAAATGCATTCTTAATCAACTGATAATTTTTAAAAGCCTTCAAAACATACCAACAATAGACATTAGTTACAAATCATTTTCCTTTTCCTCACTGTTTAAAGCAATCCTTGAGAAGTCCTGGGTGGACTTCCCAAGCAATCCAGGGGAGGATTGTTTTTGCTCTCCCTAGCCTAGCCTAGTAACTTAACAATAACAGACCAGTAAGGCAGTATTAGGTGGTTGCACCATGTGAAATGCCAAGACTGGCACTTACTTCTAAAGCCCAAGAATGCTTAATAGAGGTCCCCTGGAGAGATGTCATCTCTTAGGAAGACAGTCAAGGCAAATCCCTCTTCTAGGTGCCAACAATTGCTACATAATGATTTACTTCTGCCACTAGCATTTTCAGATGCTGTGTGATAATGAAATATTTCTTGTAATGTCAAAATGAGACAGACTTTACTCAGATAATGAAAACATAGTCCAGCTCTTTAAAAACTTGGTTAAAAACATTCCATATTAAAACTAATCTGTTTGATAGTAACTGATTATAAAAACAATCACTAATAACGTCCACCGTGTTCTGGACCTGGTTCACCCCAAAACTCACCAAGCAAGTCTAAGTGGATCCAGGCCCAGCTCCTTCCCCTCAGGGTACAGTATATCACAAATTCAGATTCCTCCTTTTTGCAAAGGAAGAAAAAAATATTATAAGGCAGAAGTCTGCATGGTGCACAAGGTCTGGCTCTTACGTGTTTTCTGAGTTTCTTCTTCTAAAACCACGGAAGAAGTAGCAAATGAAACTGTGCTACCTGCTAGCTTCCAGTTCAGAAGCTATTGACAACAAAACTTCACTTATTCATTATATTGGTAGGAAATTAGACAGTCTGTATGCATGGTTTTACGAAATAATGTTTATGAAGCAAGGTGCCAAAGGTTCTTATTTCTGAAAGGAAATTGATCAAAAGGTATTTACTGGCTTTTTTAGCAAGTGTCCACTAAAGTGATCTGATTTTTAACCTTTTAGTAGTAGCTCAGGGTCCTCACTAACCCATGAGTTCATACTGTATAAAATAACTCAACTACCTGAGTAAGAAAAAACAAAAAAGCTTAAAAAAAAAAAAGTTGGGTTTATTGAGCTATAATTCATAAGCAATAAAATTCACCCTTTTTAGTATATAGTTCTGTGAGTTCCGACAAATGCCTTCAGTGATGTAACCACTTCTACTATCAAGATACAGAGCAGTTCCATCACTTCTCATATTCCCTCATGTTTTTTTTTTTTTTTTTTTTTTTTTGCGGTACGCGGGCCTCTCACTGCTGTGGCCTCTCCCGTTGCGGAGCACAGGCTCCGGACGCGCAGGCGCAGCGGCCATGGCTCACGGGCCCAGCCGCTCCGTGGCACATGGGATCTTCCCAGACCGGGGCACAAACCCGTGTCCCCTGCATCGGCAGGCGGACTCTCAACCACTGCATCACCAGGGAAGCCCATTCCCTCATGTTTTATTTGGGTCAGCCCCTAACCTTTCCTCACCCCAAGGCAGCCACAATCTTATACTTATTTATTTAAAAAACAAATATCGGTGATGCTACTGACACTACTGAGGAATCCCCGTATTTGACCCTATAATAAAAAATCATATACTATGGCCCACTGCCTGTTTCTGTAAATAAAGTTTTACTGGAACAGAGCCATGCCCATTTATTTACTTATTATCTATGACTGCTTTTGTGCTATGAGAACAGAGTTAAGGAGTTACCACTGACACCTGCAAAGCCTAAAATACGGAAAAAGTTTGGTGATTCATGTTGTAGACTATTATGATTTTCCTTTTAGCAACTTTTCTGTTTTCTCCTTTAAAATATGCTACCACTTCTCAAAGCACCTGTTTATAGCAAACTTCCAATTGCTACAACTCTGCTCTGATTTATGCTATATGTGGACCTACTGTGGACTCTTAATGAAAGGGCAACAGATTTTATGACATACACCTCACTTTTTAGACAACCCAGGTAGTTGAGAAGGTTAAAAGTCTGCTGAATAAATGCTACACTGGAATAATGAAGATAGACTATATTGTACTGATGTTTACAATTATATCACTCAAAATTATAATCGCCCCTTCCAGGGGGTGTTCTAAAATTCCACTGTGAGCCCTTTGTGTTTTATACAAACAATGCTAGTTTGAGGTAAGTCAATTTACTAGGAGGATGCTTTCCTTAAGGCATATTTGTGCTGCTTTCTGAATATATCAGTGTTGATTTAGTGTCTTCTTTTAAAGATACCAAAAGCATATAACATAGTTTGTGGAAATTAAAATGTATGCTGTGTCAGAGCCTGAACAAAAATGAAGCGCCTCAGTGGTTAATGTTTTTAACTTAGGGCAAAGAAAAAGAATTCATCATTACCTGACAAGGAATTGCACCACCCCATTCTTGCTGAACGATATTGCAAACACCAACTAATGCAGACTCCAAGCAGGTTTTATCATAATCATCCATATTACTTAGTGCTTCCTGATTGAATGAAAGATAAAATTGCTCATTATTATTTACTGTTTTAATTTGTTACCAGAAAAAAACATAAACTGTTCAAAGCATGAATGTTACACAGGGGACATTGTGTTTCTGAGAGCCCAAAGCATACATTCTTAAAGAAAAATGGTAAAACAGATTTCCTCAACTATAAAGGATGATAAAAAGAGCTTCCCTGGGCTTCCCTGGTGGCACAGTGGTTGAGAGTCAGCCTGCTGATGCAGGGGACACAGGTTCGTGCCCCGGTCTGGGAAGATCCCACATGCCGCGGAGCAGCTGGGCCCGTGAGCCATGGCCGCCGAGCCTGTGCATCCGGAGCCTGCACTCTGCAGTGGGAGAGGCCACAACAGTGAGAGGCCTGCGTACCACAAAAAAAAAAAAAAAAAAAGAGCTTTCCTTTATTCTGTTCTCATCAGGTGAGAGTGAATTGTCCATCAAGTTCATATCTTTATTAAGTAGACCTTGAAAGAAATAATTAAAATGAAAAACGTTTAAAGACATCACAAAAATAATGACAAAATTTACTGAATACTATCATCATTCTAGGCATTTTACATGCATTTAATCATGACAACATCCTATAACGCAGTGGTCCCCAACCTTTTTGGCACCAGGCACCAGTTTCGTGGAAGACAGATTTTCCACAGACAGAGGGTGGGTGCATGGGGCGGGGCAGGGGATGGTTAAGGCAGTAATGTGAGAGACGGGGAGAGGCAGATGAAGCTTTGCTGGCTGCCCACTGCTCACCTCCCACTGTGTGGCTGGGGGTGGGGGCTGGGGACCCCTGCTATAAGGTATAGATAATGAACCTATTTTTATTTTCTTTATTTAAAAAATTTTTTATTTATTTTATTTTTGGCTGCGTTGGGTCTTCGTTGCTGTGCACGGGCTTTCTCTAGTTGCGGTGAGTGGGGGCTACTCTTTGTTGTGGTGTGCGGGCTTCTCATTGCGGTGGCTTCTCTTGTTGTGGAGCATGGGCTCTAGGTGTGTGGGCTTCAGTAGTTGTGGCAAGCGGGCTTCAGTAGCTGTGGCACACAGGCTTCAGTAGTTGTGGCTCACGGGCTCTAGAGTGCAGGCTCAGTAGTTGTGGCGCACGGGCTTAGTTGCTCTGCGGCATGTGGGATCTTCCCGGACCAGGGCTCGAACCCGTGTCCCCTGCACTGGCAGGCAGATTCTTAACCACCGCGCCACCAGGGAAGCCCAATTAACCTATTTTTAAAATAAGGAAACTGAGGTACAAAATGATTAGGTCACTTTCCCAGGTCTTACACCTAGAAGTGGCAGAATCTAGATTTGAATCCAGTCAGTCAGACTCCAGGACTCAACCATTACTCTTCACTACCTATATAGCAATTCTTTAAATTTTGGGACTGCTGCAACATCCAAGATCCTTAGTTTACTCATCTATAAGAAATCCAGTGCAATTAAAAAAGGGAAAAAAAAAGCTTTTGAGTCACTTAAAAAAATGTGAGATAGGGACTTCCCTGGTGGTCCAGTGGGTAAGACTCCATGCTCCCAATGCAGGGGGCCTGGGTTCGACCTCTGGTCAGGGAACTAGATCCCACATGCATGCTGTAACTAAGAGTTCACATGCCGCAACTAAGAGTCCACACGCCAAAACTAAGAAGCCCACATGCTGCAACTGAGACTCTGCATTCCACAAATAAGGGTCTGCATGTTGCAACTGAGAGTTCACATGCTGCAACTAAGACCCGGTGCAGCCAAAATAAATAGATTTTTTAAAAAAATGTGAGATAATAAATGATTTAACAAAATCGTATTACTTATATTTTAAAAAGCAAACTATATTGATCCTGAATTTCTAAACTGCCTAGCAACTATTAAACTGTTCATTTTAATTCCACAAACACTTACTGACTGCTCACTATGGGCAAGGAACTGTGCTAGGCATTGTTGGAAATAGTAATAATTTAGAGATGTTGTCAGAAAGTAATTCTTTGGCATATCACAGACAACACCTTTGGAAGGTAACACCTATCAATCAAGGTTTTAAAATGATTTCTTGGCATCTGTAAATCAAAGGCTATTTGTTGGGGAGGAAATGTACTCCTGAATTACTCTAGAATAAGGGTTTTATAAGGAAGGACTATTTTTCTTTCTTTTTAATTAATTAATTAATTTATTTATGGCTGCGCTGGGTGTTCATTGCTGCGTGTGGGGTTTCTCTAGTTGCAGCAAGCAGTGGCTACTCTTTGTTGTGGTGCATGGGTTTCTCCTTGTGGTGGCTTTTCTCATTGCGTAGCACGGGCTCTAGGTGCATGGGCTCAGTAGCTGTGGCTCGCAGGCTCAGTAGTTGTGCCACATGGGCTTAGTTGCTCTGCGGTATGTGGGATCTTCTGGGACCAGGGCTCAAACCTGTGTCCCTTGCATTGGCAGGTGGATTCTTAATCACTGAGCCACCAGGGAAGTCCCTGGAAGGACTGTTTTTCATCTCAAGTTCTATAGAAAAGTAGAAAAGTGTTGAACCTAAAGATCCTGAACTTTAGGGGACAGGGCACTACATCCTGAGATGCTCCCCTCCCACAGAGAATTCCAGAAAACCAAAAGAGGAGGCTACAGCAACAACTCACAGCTCTAACTCATAGCTCTACCAAAGACAGAAGGCCTACTGGTTATGAATCCTTGTTTTACAGTTATACTCAGATATTATACCCACAGACTTATCCTTAAATAATTCCAGTTCTAAATATTCAGTGCAATATGATAATACTGTTTTCCTTCCTATAAATTGGGCCCAGTACATACAATAACTCATTCCTTTTTGTACCTGTAGGGTGTTATAATCTCTTGTGAAGGGAACCATCAATTCCCAGAGTGATGAAAAAACCACCAGAGCTGTAAACTCAAGCTTGTAATTTGTGGCCATGTGTTCAAACAGCATTGTCAAACCATGGGCTGCCAGGTGCTTGCGCTGATATTCCTCGGACCCCTCGATAGACACAGGTCGGGTCATGGAAAGGGATACGTCCATTACCACCACTGTAGGCATGATGAAAGTGATCCCAGCGTTCCCAGTCAGAATGTAAACAGATAGCTATAGACAGAGAAATGCTGTAGAAAATAAATATGATTAGGTCTTGCATGTCATGGAGAAAAAAAAGTATTTTTTTAATCATAATTTTAACCTAACTTTCCAGAAATAAGTGAAGGCAAACCCCATCTAAGTTGAGGTGAGGATAAATCTGCAGGGAATTCAGTGGGAGGGAAGCAAGCAGCTTAGTTCACTGTGAGGACCACTCCTAGAATCACCCACTAAATGGCCATAAATCAAGGACCATCTTAAATGTTTCTAGTAAAAACAAAATAAAACAAAATATTAAATTCAGGGAGCTCTTGAGTTGAATACTTTCAAATCTTACACAACTTAATATAACAAACACTCCTACGTCACCTCTCCAACACTTAACTTACTAAAGAACATTTCTAGTTGTCTTATGGTGGTGCTTTATGACAATCGACCATTCTTTTTGGGCACCTTCACTATCTTACTCAATACAGCAGTATTTGGGCAAGTGTTTGCTGAATTATCTTGTTGCTTAATGTCCTTTTTAAAAAAGTTAAAATGAACGCAAAATATAAAAACAAAAAGTCGGGTTTCCCTGGTGGTGCAGTGGTTAAGAATCTGCCTGCCAATGCAGGGGACACAGGTTCGAGCCCTGGTCCGGGAAGATCCCACATGCCGCGGAGCAACTAAGCCCGTGTGCCACAACTACTAAGCCTGTGCTTTAGAGCTCATGAGCCACAGATACTGAGCCCAGGTGCCACAACTACTGAAGCCCATGCACCTACAGCCCGTGCTCCGCAACAAGAGAAGCCACCGCAATGAGAAGCCTGCGCACCGCAACGAAGAGTAGCCCCCACTGGCCGAAACAAGAGAAAAGCCTGCGCGTAGGAACGAAGACTCAACGCAACCAAAAATGATAAATAAATAAAATAAAATAATAAAATAAATAAATTAAAAAAAAGAAAAGGCTAGTAAAGTCATAGTCCAAATTAGACAAAGCTGGAAATCATTAAGCATGACAAAAACAACAAACCGCTAGCCTCAGTAGTACTCACTGCAGATAAACGAGGCAACAGCTCTGTAACTATGAAGGAAAAGAGCAAAATTAAAGAATATGTATGACAGCTGGCAGTATCTCATGAAACTGTATAAAAGTCAAAATGTAGAAGAAATGGAGAAAACAAAGAGCTTTTTAAAATTATGGATTGAGAATTAGCATGAAGAAAACATTTCTGTGCTCAAAAATAAAGAAAAAAGTTCCCAGATATACAGATCTGCTCTTGCTGCTGCTACTCTATTATTAAGCAAACTATAGTCTACTCACACAATTAAATATCATATAGCTATAAATAAATGATACATATACAGATATCAGAAATATTTATATAGGTATTAGTAACTGAGAAAAGCAGGTCACAGGCCTATATGTATACACCGATTACAACTTCATAAAAATCATACTGCATATATTGCATATATACAGTTAGAGAACACTCAGGATGGACATAAACAAGTTAGAAATTTAATGTTCACTAATTTCTTTTTTGGAACTTACTTCAAAACACTTAACAGTGGCCAGAGGGCTTGTTTTAGTACAGTGTCCAACTGCAAACGTGTGCTATTCTAAAATTCCATTTGTAAGTAGGCTGTTGGGAACTCTGAGCATATTGCCTCACGGAAACAATGTTATAAATGCAGATCAGGGACTCGTGTCAAGTAGGAAAAGCCTTTTTACCACATAATGGCCTTTCAAATACAAATGCCTCATGTATCCAACATCGATAAAGACTAAAGGAGATATATAAATTACTCTTCCAGACTCCTTTCCAAAATGTTTAACCATTTTGATAGAAAAAACTAAAATGTGGGATTCCCTGGTGGTGCAGTGGTTTAAGAATCTGCCTGCCAATGTAGGGGACAAGGGTTCAAGCCCTGGTCTGGGAAGATTCCACATGCTGCAGAGCAACTAAGCCCGCGCACCATAACTACTGAGCCTGCGCTCTAGAGCTTGCGAGCCACAGCTACTGAGCCCACGTGCCACAACTACTGAAGCCCGCACACCTAGAGCCCGTGCTCCACAACGAGAAGCCACCGCAATGAGAAGCTTGCGCACCGCAACCAGTGGCCCCACTCTCCGCAACCAGAGAAAAGCCCACGCGCAGCAACGAAGACCCAATGCAGCCAAAAATAAATAAAATAAATTTATTTTTAAAAAAACCAAGGGGCTTCCCTGGCGGAGCAGTGGTTGAGAGTCCGCCTGCCGATGCAGGGGACATGGGTTCGTGCCCTGGTCCGGGAAGATCCCACGTGCCACAGAGCGGGTGGGCCCATGAACCATGGCCGCTGAGTCTGCAGGTCCAGAGCCCGTGCTCCGCAACGGGAGAGGCCACAACAGTGAGAGGCCTGCAGACCGCAAAAAAAAAGACAAAAAAACCCCCAAAATGTGCATCCTTATTCTGCACCTCATTAAGCACAGCATGTTAAACATAATTCACTCTGACTTAGCATCACAACTCTGAACACCAATACTGCCCAGCACGCTGCTGCCCTCATGTTTTAATTTATACCAGCATTCTCCCAAGTGTGTGCTGCAGAACACTGTCCTGGAGGGATGCTCCAAGAAAAATGAGTTCAGGTCTTATTAAAGACACCGAAAAGCTCTATAGCAAAGAATCCAGTTTAATTTGTTAACTCTGTGTTTCCCATTTAACCCTTCTCTGATCAGTAGTTGATGCCATGGAACAAGTATATAGAACATACCCAGAAACAATGCCTTGTACTCAAGGGATCCAGGCTGTTGTGTTCTGTTTTGATGCCTCCTCTTTGTAACTAAGTTTTGGACCATCATTTTGCATCCCACTTTTCTCTGTAATCATCCTCCCTCTTTCCGATTTGATGCTTCTTGGCTACTATGAGCTGGAAAGCCAGGTTATCCAGCTTGCTAAAACTGTGTCCGAAGTCAAAGTTAACAGGCTCTGAGAGCCTGTGAGTTTCTTCTGCTGTCACGTGCATGTGCTTAGACGTTATCAACTTGGTGCTATTTCATCTACTCAGTCTTTCCAGACCCTTTCTTGGTCTCAGCTGTGTTGTTCAAGAAGTGAGGTCCTGTGCAATACTGGTTCAACTACACTACATTAAACCATAAGCTCAACAAGAGCAGGGGCAGTGTGAGATTCTGCCCACCAATGTCTCCTCAGAACCTATCACAGCAGTGGGCACACAGTATGTACTTGACAAATACTTGATAATGACAAGTAAACTACCTCTCATTACCAGATGTAACATTAATTTTTTGGCAAAACACATTACAAATTTTAACTCTGGACACCAGAAACACACTTCCTCCTCTCCTCGTTCAAGCAGAGATATCAGGAACGCCTATGCCTCTACCCACGTATAGAGTTTATCCAGCTCCTATGGTATTCCCATTCAGGCACAGAGGTCTTTACATTACTGAAAGCTGGGGATGCGGAGTACTGGCCTCATCTCTTAGGAGAATGAGAATCAGGATACACAGATTTAGATCATATATAAGAAAGCATTTCCAGCTCATGAAATCTGCTTTAACACTGGAATGGGTGACCATAGCTGGCAGGCTTGCATTCTGGGAAGACACTTACAGAGCTGGCTCTTTCTTCAGACTGATGCATTTGTGTCCACCCCCAAACACACCTTCCTAACAATGGCAAAGTCATGGGAAACCAATTTAGAACTCAGGTTGTCAGCACAGAAGTAAAAGATGGATGGATGTTCTTGAAGGATGGTTCACTCAAGTAGCCTAGGCCTGATTAAAAAAAAAAAAATCCCTGCCCACACAGTCCAGCAATTTTGTGAAAACACCATGTTACTTCTCTCTTGGGTTGATTCTTACCCTAAGGTCCTCCACCCCACCCCCATAGCTTTCTCGTAAGTAGTTTACATACAATGCTTAAGACAACTAGTGGTCTTTTCTCAAGAACAGTCTACTCCTGAGAATAGCCCTTTGTCCCTTGATTTGGTCATCTCCATTAGCTACACATTTATAATTCTTCCAAGGAGACAATTAGCCCGTTCATAAAGAACTGATTCTGAGGAGTATCACTCTTAAAGCGTGATTCCACTCGAATTTCTAAGGATCCGCTAACCTACTCTTAAGTTTGTCTGTTGGCCTCACATCTCTTGCCCGGATGAGTCCCCTCCACTGTTCTCAGTTACAACTTCACCTCTAAAGTGCCAACCTGTAAATACAGAACTCCTGCATTTGGATCGCGTCTGCCTGGGGATGTATTTTTACCTTAAAATCAGTCAAAAATCTTTAAGATCTGGAAGTCTCTTATGGGAAGAGGAGGCGAAGGGGGCCTGGGCAGGGGGCCGACATCGTGGTGCTTGTGCAGAGCTCTGACGCGGCAGAGCGAAGGGAGGACGAAGGCAGCGCCCCGGAACTGGCGCCGCGGAGACGGCGCGGGGCGGCCACCTCGGCGGCGGAAAGGCCGGGCGTCGGCCCCGCGTTGTTCCCCGCCGCCGACCCCTTCTCCTGCAGCTTCAACAAGCAATCCAAGACAGCCTACGGTCTCCAGCGCCCTCCACTCACCCCGCGCCCATCACCGGTTCGGTCCGCCACCAAAACCTTTCCGCCAGCGCACCGCAGCCGGAAGTACATGGCCCCGCGACGAAACGGAACTCGGCGCCGGGTGTGCGCGAGGCGCTTGGGGCGGGGCTTTAAGGACGTCGTGGGCGGGGCGTTGACTCAGCGGAGAAGCTGCCCGGTTCGTCTTCCTCAGCGCTTCTCTTCGCAGCGTTTTGTCAGCGACCACTGCCACGACCCCACTCCCCACGTAGTCCCCAACTGCGCCGGGCCCAGGCTGTGTTCGCCTTTTCTCTCCCTCCTCGTTCTCGGGCTCTTCCTTATTTGTTTCTGGCCTCCTGCCCACCTGCTTCTCGTTGGCCCGTGGGCCTTACCTGTCTGGGTAACCCCGTGACCAATTCACACTGTCTCCTCACTCACCTGCGCTCGTTGGTGACCCGCCTGACCCTGATATTTGCCCCTCTTCCCCGTCCCTCTTCAGACC